AAATGTGCACATTTGTGCAAAAAAAGGGCCGTTTATGCCCCCCCCCCCCCCAGGAGCACTCCAAGCCTCCTAAGGGCTATTCATGCCCTTTTTTGGGGGGGAAAGGGGGGGCATTTTTGGGGGGAAAGGGGTCATTTTTGGACAAAAGGGGCGTTTTTGGAAAAAAGGGCCGTTGATCCCCCCCCCCCCCAGGAGCACTCCAAGCCTCCTAAGGGCTATTCATGCCCTTTTTTGGGGGGGAAAGGGGGGGCATTTTTGGGGGGAAAGGGGTCATTTTTGGACAAAAGGGGCGTTTTTGGAAAAAAGGGCCTTTTTTGCCCCCCCCCCCCAGGAGCACTCCAAGCCTCCTAAGGGCTATTCATGCCCTTTTTTGGGGGGGAAAGGGGGGGCATTTTTGGGGGGAAAGGGGTCATTTTTGGACAAAAGGGGCGTTTTTGGAAAAAAGGGCCGTTTTTGCAAAAAATGGCCGTTTTTGCGAGGTTTGCAGAGTGCAAAAACTTTTTTTTTTAATTTTCCTCTTCAAAACCTTGCTGCGTCTTATACTCTGAAAATTACAGTAGTTTTTAACTAAACATTTTAACCTTTAAAACCAGAAGAAGAAAAAAACAAATACAGAAAAAACATGACACACATAACAATATAAAAATAGTTTTATAGCCTTCTGTATTGGCTTGCATATTTAGCCTTTATAGTTCTCTATTCTACATTGTCTTCCTTCCCGGTTTTAACATCTGTAATAGTGTAATCACAATTGTACTCACAGTTTTAACAATAATAATTTGTTCGTATCACCATTATGCTTACATTATGGTCAATACTTTAAATTTGATAGTAAAAGAAAAAAGACTTCGATTTCCTGTTTTGGCTTCTGTTTTAAGTCACTTCTTTTCATTGCCGTTGTAAAGTGGAACGGTCACTGAGTGAACTGCTGTAAGTCGAGGACTGCCTGCATTCGTTTGCTTTCACTTTCTTATTTCCCCCTCCTGGCTCCTTCTCGCAGAACCCCTTCCATCTCCACATGGACCAATGTGGTGACTTCGAGACTCTACTGGACCTCCTGGCCACCATCTTCCACGCCAACCGCTGGCAAGATGTCACGCTGGTTTTGTGCCAAGCCTGGGATGCCTCCTCCTTCATTGACCTCTGGACCAGCCACGCCCACCTGGAGAAGACGGTGGTGATTGACTTGAGCTTCCTGGACGAGAGAGAAGCGGCCCGCCACCTTCGACGACACTTGGAGGAATACCGCGAATTGCCAGGCCCGGCTTTGCTTTTCGGCTGCAACGCTCCTTTCTCCCAGCTCATCTTCCGGACGGCGAAGGAGTTGGGGGTCACTCAGCAGTTCCACTGGATTTGGGGGCAACCCCAGAACGTGGATGAGCTCCAGACGGAGGGGCTGCCGTTAGGTCTTCTGGCCTTCGGGGAAGTGGACAGGCCCTCTCTGGAGCACTTCATCCAGGATGCCATAGAGCTAGTGTCCCGGGCTATTTCCAGGGCTGTCTACATCCGGCCTGACCTCGCCCTCATCCAGAGCATGGTGAATTGCAATGACAAACACGTCGTGGACTCTGAATCCTCTGGACTCTACCTTTCCCAGTGAGTAAGCGACTCTTGATTTTTGCATCCATAAGAGTAGCTGGGACGCGGTGGCTCAGTGGCTAAGACGCTGAGCTTGTCGATCAGAAACGTCGGGAGTTTGGCGGTTTGAATCCCTAGCGCCACGTAACGGAATGAGCTTCCGCTACTCGTCCCAGCTTCTGCCAACCTAGCAGTTTGAAAACATGTAAAAAATGCAAGTAGAAAAATAGGAACCACCTTTGGTGGGAAGGTAACCACGCTCTGTGCGCCTTCGGTGTTTAGTCATGCCGGCCACGTGACCATGGAGATGTCTTCAGGCAGCACTGGCTGTTCGGCTTTGAAGCGGAGATGAGCACCGCCTCCTAGAGTCCGGAACGACTAGTACATATGTGCAAGGGGAACCTTTATGTTTACCTTAAGAGTAACCAATCTCTTTTCCCAAAATGCACATGTGTTTCTGTAGAATTACGACCCAAAATTGGCTTTGTTAAGCAAGGCAGTGGTTACATGGGTTACCCCGTGTTACAACCTTATTAAGCGAATCAGTTGTTAAGTGAATCATGCTGTCATTAACCAAATCTGGCTTCACATTAGTAGCGAATATCAATAGGATGAGGGTGAAGGTTCATTCTCCGAGCTTCTAGAGGCAAGTGGTTCCACTGATCAATTGTTCTAGCTATCTGAAAATTTCTCCTTAGTTCTAGGTTGCTTCTCTCCTTGATTAGTTTCCACCTATTGCTTCTTGTTCTACCCTCAGGTGCCTTGGAGAATAGCTTG